ACAGAAAGAAAACAACAGAATATGACCTAAGTAATTTATTTAGAAATTAAATCAGACAACACAAAGGTAGGTAAATTCAGCTCCAAATTCTAACGTTCACTCGCCCGGCATTTAAAAATGCGGTGTTATTAAAAAATTACCTTATCTCTGTTCAAAAGATTAGTATAATATTTATGACACCTTTATACCCATTAATGAAAACATAGAAATCCCAAAAGTAATGTTGATCAAGTTGCCAACAAAGTCCTCGTAAAAGCTGCGAAGTTTTCTGGGGATCTCGGCTGTTTTATTTTGTAACAAAATGCCATGGGATTCGATGCTTCACAGATTCGCTATAAATCCTTAAAGTTATATAAATTTAACTTTTTTTTCAGATTAATGTACTACCTTTATCACTTCCACTTCCCCTGTTGAGAAACTCCTTTATGTATCTTTAATCTTAATTGGGATTCGTTTCTGGTAAAGTTCTTGGACAATGACATCATTCATTTATCATATACAAAACTTTTCTGCGTTGGATCCGCAAATATTTGTTCTAGCGTTTAATATTCTTACATGATTGTTTTTTTGTGTCAGTGTTTCTTTCGAGTTATAATACCTCTTTTTATTGAATTCGAGGCTATAGTTTTGCGCGAAAATATAAAAACACCTAGCAATTTTTATTCATCATTGATTTGGTTTATTCACACTGGATTGACTGACCGGAATACTAACGTCCAGCTCAATACTAATTTTCATAATTTTTTGGGCCCATAATGTTTCTATAATTTTATTCATTCATATGAATTCATACTGGACTTTTCAACCAAACCTTTTATCAATTATTACGCTACTTGACTTTTCACATCCGGTTTATTATAAAAAGATCGGATAGTGAACTAACGAGCAACGCAACGGTTGCATACCGCGAATTATTTTTACAACTGAAACTTCCTTTACGTTCCATTCCAAAGTTTGCGGAATTTCGGAATTAATTTTTGATTTTACTGGGGCATAAAAAACTTTCCAAGAGAATATTAAAATCCCTTGGAAAAAAACAAATTAATTTAAATGCGAATTTCTTTTCACTTTGAATAAGGATTTATAATTTTGGGCTCTATAGTTAATGCATACAAATCGGCATATTATAATAATTTCGCAGTAAAGTGTTCTTTAACGATCGACAGAACTTGTTAATTTGTTTGCTTTTAAGCGATTCTGGCTTTTTGAACGTGATTGGCCTATCAATCTTCGTGTGTGATGTAGCAGCGTTAGTGCTTTAAAAAGAGAATACATTAAACACCAATTTTGCAGGATCTTGACGGTTTTCTTTGGAATATTTTTTTATTTGCAAATTTAATGCCGAAAAGTAACTCATTTTGGTGATTCCGGATTAAATTCTGCGAATTCTGCAAACCCGAATTTATATTATAATCAATAAGAACTATGACGTGTTTCGGGGATGATACAAAATTTTCTTTAATTTTATATCACCTACTTTGCTCTATTTTTTAGTAATAAGTCCCATAAGACACAGCACAGTTTAGAGAACTGTGTAAAATGCATGCAGATGTTCACGTTGGGCCAGACATTTTTTATGAATTACTACATATTTTGTTAAAATTTAAGCTTTTTATGTGTTAGGAAACTGAGTTGCCCCGGTACAACGAGAATCTTTTTAGCTGTTCCAATTCTTATCGTAACGACTAATAAAATAGTACCATTTATGGTAATCATTAGTATTGAAAATGCCACTTGCCTATATGTTAACAGTCTGGAGTTATTGTGTTCTATTTGTCTGATCCTGGGGGCCCAGATCAATGTTGAATGGAAACAAAAAGCCTGACTCCACAAAGTAAAATCGAAATTATGATGATGACTTTGTATAAATAGATAGATACTTTTATTCACAAAGCCCAGTATTTATATTATAGAGTAGTATAAAGCTACATGGAATTATGTATATTAACAATACGATAACACACATTTAACAGTACAGTGTAGAACAGTTACAAACGAATATATAAACAGTACAAACATATTGACAAAATGTGGAGAAAATATCACTAAACTCATCAGGGCACTCCTATAATATATGTTTCAAATTCTTTCAGGTCGTAGAAAGCATTGGTTAACAGAAGCTTTCTGATGCACTTTTTAAATTGTCTTGTAGATAATTCTTTTATGCTTGTAGGAAGCAAATTATAGTAATAAGGTCCTGCGTAATTTTGCGACTTTTTGTAAAACATGTGGTTCAGTTTTGGCTTTAGAAGGTGTTCTCTGTTTCGGGTGTTATAACCGTGGACATCCGTGCGTTTCTTGTGTTTATGAACGATGATGAACAATTAAAATAAATATATGCAAGGCACTATTATTATTTTATATTTTATAAATATATACTTGCAGGGTAGCCTCAGGGGCAGTCTGAAAATCAACCTAAGTATCCTTTTTTGCTGAATGAACACCCTCTCCGCATCACTCGCTTGTCCCCAGTTTACGATTATATGATTATATGAAATAGACGAGTATGCTGAGGCGTAATAGAAAGTCAACAAGGATCTTTCAAAGAAAGAATCTCTGATTGTTAACATTGCAAAAAACGTTTTGTTCAGTTTATTGCAAACACTATCTATGTCGTAGTCCCACTTTAGGAAGGCATCGATGTAAGATCCGAGAAACTTTGTTGTGTGGTTTAATTCCACGCGTGAACCCGCAAAGCTGAACGCTAGGTTGGTCAGAGATTTAACATATTGACCAGTGAATTCGATCACAACTGTTTTTTCCAAATTTATGATCAAATGATTCTGTTTGCAAAAATCAACAAACTGTGCCACAACACTAGAGAACCTATTGATCAACTCCTGAGCTTCCCTTCCAGAGACGAAGATGGATGTGTCATCCGCGTACATAAAAACGCGGCAGTTGCTATTGAGGAACTCAGGAAGATCATTCACATACAGAAGAAAAAGTAGTGGACCTAAGATTCCTTCCTGGGGCGTGCCTAAGTTGATGTTGAACGGTTCCGAGTATATTCCATTCACTTTGACCCTTATTTTCCTGTGTTTCACATATGATATTATCCAACTATTGATGTTACCTCGAAACCCCAAGCATTCTAGTTTTTTTGCCATGATATTCAAATCTAAGGAATCGAAAGCGCGCGATAGATCAAAAAACACTCCCACAACTGTCTCACCCATGTCGAGTTTGTCGTAGATATACTGGACAAGGTCATTAGTCCCCGTTTCCGTTGAGTAACCAACACGGAAACCATATTGCACATTCGATATAATGTTTTCTTGATCCAAAAAATGTGTCATTCTGTCGTACATGGCCTTTGGCGCATTCTCTGGTAGCTTTAATATCCTTTCACCGCTAAAGTGCGTCAGATGAGAATTTTAGAGTTTATTGGGAAAATAGAAAGCGGCAATTGTTTCCATTGCTTTCCGAATTAATTTGTCTGATAACGAAATGCTAAAACACAGATCATATTTTGAAGCTTATTACTTCTGATTTCTCAGAAAAAAAATATATTGCTTAAGAATTATCTTCAGACACTCATTTATTACACACCCGCTCCACTTGTGCATAAATTAGCACTGAAGTTTCATTTACAAAACTTGTGGCATAATATGCTATTAATAGTAATCTTGTCTACTAAAAGCAATTACTCTAATCTATGTTTGATGCCAGCCTAAGAGTATCTTTACTAGTTTACTGACGTAACAGCAGAAGCAAACCTAAGTAGACAGACAGGCCAATTAGGAGTTCAAGAACTGCATGACCTCAAATTATTAGAAAACACACAAAGACATTTGTTCTCTTTCAGTTGAATTCTGATATCCTCTTGAAAAGCTAGTTAAGTCACAAACTCCACAAAACTGTATTTGAATCAAGAAAAAGCCTATAATACCATGGAATACTTAGCGGACGTTATAATTGGATGCCAGCTTTATTGAAAATTGATCAAAAAACTGGGCCTCCCAAACGATAGATGAATGGACTATCCCTTATATTTGTGATTTATAAAATCAATTTTTCTCGGCCTCTAGAGAGAACTGAAAAATGTCGCCTTTCTTCGAAAAATATTATTCAGCCAAAAGGACTCTTCAATAATATCAAGTCGCTTTAAAAGGTTCTGGGGAAACCATTTTTCAGTATAAGTTTGTGCGTCTGACAAACGCGAGGAGATGAAAATTAAAGTCGGTTGTGGATATTTCGATAAGAATGAAGCAAAAGTAAGCTAACGCATGTTCCGCCGATACACGGATTTTTTTAAGTGCCACACGGTTATTGTCGTACAATTAACATTTTTGGTTTAGTTTTGATTAATTTTGGTTCGTTTGCAGTACCTACTTAAGACAACAAAAAATTGTAACGATATTTTTCAGATTTAATTTCAAATATATTATGCTTTTTATAATAAATTGGCTTGCTGTTCCCAGTATTGCTCCTTATGAACTTTACATTTTACAATTTTGTATGTGGGTCAATTATTGTTTGCACGGTTTTTTTAATTTCCGGATATCAGTTTACCGCTGAAATGTCTATGGAGAATGAATATCAGTTTACCGCTGAAATGTCTATGGAGAATGAACATGAAATTGGCTAGTTTTGGAGGTGGTTAACTTCTCATTCAATAACTAATTTTGTTATAATGGCTTCAAAGTTTCCGAGACCCCTTGACTTTTAATTAGATCGCGTAGATGTGAAAATGTTTTTAATTCCGTTTGCTTTGGGTCAAGTAAGCAGTGAACGCTAAGATCTTATTTAACTCAACTTCCCGATGTTCCCCTTCTGTGTACACAAGAATGCCGGATAAAGTACAGCTTTATTTATTTGTAATGATACTCTGAGCTTCGTTAGAAGGGAACATTATTTACGTTTTAGTCTGGGCGATTTTGTGTTTTGATGTGAAAGTTAAATTTCCGGGGAAGAAATGTGAACAATATTTACTTATCTTGGAAAACCCCAAAGTGACGCAATTTTTCTCTTTTTAAACAACAGTCTTCTTGTTTCAGTGCCCATAGTCAGCGTTCAAGCAGTAGCCGGTGAACCTGTGTATTTACCGTGTGATATCTCTACGCAAGAACCTGGTGATGAGGTGCTCTTAGTGTTGTGGTATCGTGAGGATCCAGGAACCCCAATTTACACGTAAGGATGTGATTATAGACTTTAATGGATTCAAATTCAAATTTGAGTTTTCGAAATATTCAACTTTAGAGATTCGCTCACTAGGATAAAGAGTACTATATAAGACTTTCCAAAACTATATATCGAGATTGCAGGATATAAATGCTTAACATATTTAAAAGTTCGAATAAACATGTGAAACTTGCTTATCTTTAAAGGTACAGGGTATTAAAATTTTAAGAATTAATCAATTTCTCATCCATACTATAAATACCCCTTGGGCAATTTTGATGAAACTTAGATTTGCTTTTTGTGCTGTACAACCGCAATATATTGACATATATTTTGACACGCTCTGTGTAGTACGAATTTACATTCAACTGGTGACGATGACGCATATTTCAACGAAAAGCGTTTAAATTTTCTCTCCTGGATAAATGCATTTAACAATCTATCTACACTTAATTTATTTGGTTAATTAAAGCAAACTCTCACATATTATATTGCTAGGTTTGCTTTGCAAACTACAATTAATTTCGAATGATCATTTTCAAGTAATTAAGCTGCGGAGCACGGGATTTCCTGCGACGCACACGCAATTTCTAGGCTACTATTAAATTAAATACGTAGGTATATCACCGCGACGCTTCCCAGCTTTTCTTTGACGTCAGATCTAATTCGATAAACTTTATTTTTAACAGGTATCTTCCAAAAAAATAAATTTTGATAAAAGAGTTTGGCAAAAAAAGTCCTTTAAGCTTAGATTTAAAACGCAATATCAACCCAAATTGTTTAGATAAAATGTGTTAAAATCAAAAATTTGTTTTGTATTCATAAGTACCTAGTATAAAGTATTGGAGAATCAAATCACCAACCAAAATATTGTACTAAAATAGCAATTTTGGCAACGGCCTAGAATTTGGGCCGCATCAACCAGCTGCTTGCTCATATGTTAGTATGGTCTGTTCATAGATATAAGAAAGTGACCAATTGCTTTTGAATGGGATTAGCCAAGGGTGGTCATTCACATACAATGCAACAAGATTATTACCTAAAGTTTCGGAATTTAAATTCAGGTAAAATTGTGGTCCGTATAGAAAATAATTTTATACCTACCTGTGTTTAATATTCTTTGGTTTGGTATACTACTTAGTTTAAGTTTATTAGTAATCAATCTTATTTCGTGTGTAATACAGCGTGTGTTGAATCGTGTGCGAATTATGCAAAATAAGTACGAGTCTAGTGTATCTCAGGAGATGCTTCCGCCCAAATGTAGAAAACACTATTCTCCAGCATCAACCGAATGGAAAATTGTGAATAATCCGATTTCAGCGATGAAAAAAAGAAGCGATGCTCGAGTGTAGATGAAATCGATCAAGATATAATACGATTTTTTTTTAATTTACCAGTTAAACGAGGAACAAAGCGTGCCCACATTAGATATCTTAATTAGGAGGCTTGAAAAGGATGAAAACGGTGTTAAATGTGGCAGAACTACCTTATGGAAGTGTATTCAACACATGGGTTTTAGATTTAAAAAAATTAACAAAAGGCAAGTTTTAATGGAATCTTTTAGAATTCGGAAATGGCGACTGGAATATCTAGAAAAAAATAGGATTTACAGAGAACAACAAAGGCCAATTATTTACTTGGACGAAACCTGGTTCGACACTTATGATACCCCGGAAATGAGTTGGGTCGACTCAACTGATAAAATAGTAACTATTTTGCATGCTGGCTCTAAAGAAGGTTGGATTCCAAATGCACTTTCTCTGTCTGCGAAAAATATTAAAGATTCTTTTCTGTATTACCAGGAAGACACCACAGCTGATTTATTTGAAAGTTGGTTTAAAACCAAACTAGTTCTAAACATTCCTTCTAATAGCGTCATTGTAACGCAACAATCCAAAACTACATGTATAATAACGACATTTATTTTCACCAAGATTATGAAAAAAGCAATTAATTGAGGTTCTACAAAGCTTGAACCTACAAAAGGAATACGTCTGTGATAATTAAGCAAAAAATCTAGGGCATACAGTTTTAAGGCCTCCACCTTACCACTGTATATTTAATCCCATTGAACATCTTTGGCACCAACTGAAATCTGCCATTCGTCGTAACAATAATCCCTCCACAAAGTTGGGCGAATTCTGTTAAACATATAGAAAAAGCAGAACAATCGTATATCCTTGCAATATGGATAATATAGAAGAAATAATAATTAGAACAGGCGATGATAGCGATAGTGATACTGATATATTATGTGAATAATGTTAAGTAATTTAAGTAGGTAATAAAAATAATTTGTAATTTTATTTTAAATTTAAACATAAATACATACATAAATAAATAAATATTGTTTAGTATCTTTCCTAACAAAACCCCAAATAATTAAATTCTAAGCAAAGGGCGGACCTGTTCGGCTATATTTCATTCTTACAGCTTGCCCGAGTCTTTCCATAATTCATATCTGTTAGTCACTTTTTCATATCTGTGAACAGACTTTACCGAAAAACGGTTGTTTAACATAATCTAAGAAGATGTAAAGTATTATGACAAGGATACGTGAAATAGTTTGAAAGTACTTTGAATATTTCTATATTATCAAATAAATATTAATATTTTAAATTTGGTGTCATCATAATGTTTGTTTACATAAAAAAGTCCAACTTTTCAACTTGTTTCTTTTTATTTTCACTTCTGATATCGAAGTATATATATATATATATATATATATATATATATATATATATATATATATATATATATATATATATATATATATATATATATATATATATATATATATATATATATTTGATTAAACTATTTGTTTCATAACTAAGAAAATATTTTCGGAATATTTATATATCACCACAGGATTATTGTACACTTTAATTCAAGCCCATGTTCTGGTTATATAAGATGATTTGCGTTTCAAAAGTTATATTTTGTATTTTATTACAGGTTCAGTTACTACACAAAGTTTCAAATAACGTTTGTCTAAATGTTTATCTTTTACATCTTGCTCACAATTTTTGGAAAGAAAATATTGAAATATTTTTTAAATGAATACTTAACTAAATGCATGTCCACCAAAATGTAATAATGTATAAAACTAGTTTAAAAAAAATATTCTACCTTCGAATAGATGAACAGAAATGATAGTATTCTAGGTGAGACCAGGACGAAAACTATCGAACGAATCTTATATAACTCCAGATCTCATCGCTGTTTCGAGAATATGGTGTATATCGTCATTCTGTGGAGTGTCTCGACAAGACGCAATTTATCCCAATTAAAGCGAACACCGTCGTAAGATTTCAAGCATGGAAAAGTTATAATTTAATTAAGCCAGTTACTCAAGCTCCCGTGCATATTTACACCAGTTTGCATTAAACTTTATTATTTACAATTAAAACATCGGCAAGTCCTTAATTACACTGAAAGGATACGGTTTGGTGTAAGCTATTTCTTACAACAAAGGGCGTACGAACTTGTTTAAGTGTATAATATGTTAAAGTTGGCCAGTTTTATTAATTATAATGCAAACAACGATGTTCCGCGTATGGTACAGTTTACGGTGCATAATTTGTTTGAATATTAAAGTTGATCGAAATTTAGTGCTGAGATACTGACAGACTCTCAGCGGATTACGGCGGCTGCAATTCTCTTGCCTAACATAAATATATTCTTATGACGCATTCTCATTCAACTAATATGGAAATCTAATTTTGGTAACTTAGTTCTAAAGGTCTAACGTTTAACAATAATTTGGTAGTATAACAGTATAGTTCATAACACAAGGTTTGGTTTGGCTACCATATTTTTTTCTAATTTAGTATTTAGGCGGTTTGCATTTCCAAATGCCTTCTGTTTAAATCCCCCAATGGACTGATTTCGCGTGAATGTCAGGCAGAATTCAAAATCAATAAAAGGTTTTCTTGCATCCTTATTCGTTTTTCCGTAGTTTCATTGAAATACGTTCGATTGTACAGCAAATCTATTATTAATAATTATATTTATTATGTAACCATGTCGCTTCAAATATTGCTTCATCACACGATATTTCCAAAGCAATATGACTTCGGTATTTATGGTAGGGTTCAGTTTGTTCATTTGCTGTGCCATCGACATTGTTAAATTGTATATTTGGATATTTCATTGGGAAAAACATCCAAAACATCCACTTGGTGTCCTTCGGTTTCACTTGAACGGAATTTTTGAACTAAGACTTTTTACTTCAAATCATATTTGTCTCATATCATTTGCCAGTCTATCTGAGTTTAGTATGTTCGGTAGACACAACGTCACACCACAACTTGAATCTCTGGAATTTGTTATATTCCTGTTGAAGTTTACTGCAGTCTTTTTAAATTATTCTATTTAATATTGATGAATCTAGTTCATAGCTATAGTTCATTTCATGGGCCAAGCTTACGGTATCAATTGCTTTACTCTATTTTGTAGATTCAAAGGTTAAAAAATAGTCAGAAACAAAAATGTGAGCTTGTGGTATCCAAAATATCAAAATAATTCAATTATTATATTTACAGTTAGAACAATTATTAAATTTATAAAAAAATCGTTTCAAATGAACTTCTTAAAGTTTTCTCAAAGGTATTTTCATTTTTAATATATTAGGTCGGATAATATTAACCCCTAAAAATATTGCTATTAACCGCAAAGTTTACCAAAGAGCATTTTACTTATTATCTGTCGTCTCATCAGCGTTTGAAAGAAAGTTAATGTGGGATACGGGTCCTAATTGTCAAAGACAATGAGTTTTACAGTTTTACTTACAAAGGCCTAATGAAGTCAAAGGAAAGACGTCTGGCATTTATAAAACCTGCTACAGATTTTATAGCTTAAAAGCTTATCTTTAATTAGCATTTTACAAAAGAAATTTTGGCTAAAATGAAAATTCTGGATGGAAAAATAATTCTGTGAGATAAAAATAACAAACTAACAGAATTCGCCTGACAGTTATTTTGTTCTACCCATTTGCGTGCCAAAAC